TCCCGGGCTGTCTGGGGGCTTCGTCTTTCTACTTCGTTGGCCAGAATTTCCTAAAAATGAGAATGATCTCTTAGGAAGTTTTCCCTTCAACTGATTCTTCCCTCATTTTAATTCAGTAGAGTTTTCTCCCACAGCCTTTTTCTCAGGGAACATACACTTACCCTTACCCTGCTCCAGCTGCCAAGCCCATAGACTTGGGGCAGTCATTTGGCCTCCCTGATGCCAGGTGAGCTGCAGGGACGGGGCAGTCCTCGTGCGAGGAATCCAGACTGCATCCGCAGAAAAAGATACATATCTGCTAGGCACAAAGATAGAGAATTTAAATGCATAAGGATTCTCTTTTCTTCACCTGCAATGTCCACTCTCATCCTTGAGGCAGTGTTGTGCAGCTGGGGAACATGTAAGGACACTCACAGTTCATACTGAGCACCCACTACATGGCAGGGACTGTGCTGGGCCTTGTGTAGTACTACACAGACAGATAGCTCTTTAGGGGTCACTCATCACAGCACCCTTCAAAGGTCTAGGCTGGTCCTGCTCCATGGTCTGGCTACCTAAAAAGCAGGCTTGGGACAATCTCTAATGCTGCCTACGGGTACCACATCAAGTACAAGCCTCATGGAATCTAGTGACTGAGGTACTAGCATCTGATTTCCAGGTAAGCAAACTGAGACTCAGAGAGGTAAATGTCATATAGACAACATGTAGCAGGTCTGGGATTTATATATATTTTCACCTCATTCCTGAAGGTCACAGGTAGGACACAGGCATTTAGGGGAATATTAAATAGCCACTAAAAGCAGTGATGTGTATCTCTATTACTTCTTATGAGAAAATACGCCCCACAGTATAACATTATGTAGAAAAATAGTTTATAGAGCCATTATGTATGATATTATTTTTGGAAGGGAAAAAACTTTCAAATAGATACATATGAAGGGATGGCAAAGGAGAAAAAAAGGGCTAGATGTAGTGGTATGTGCCAATATTCCCAGCATTTCAAAGCCTGAGGCAGGAGGATCACAAATTTAAGCCCAGCCTGGGTGAGTCAGCAAGACCTTTCCTCAAAGTCAAAACACTTTTTAAAGGGCTAGGGATGTAGCTCAGTGCAAAAGCTTTTAATCCCTCAAAGAAAGAAAGAAAGTGGGAAGGAAGGGAGTGAGGGAGGGAGGAAAGGGAAGGCAGGCTTAGGGAAGCAGAAAGAAAGGGATTAAGAAGCAGAAAGAAAAGAAAAAGGATTGTGTTTTAAAAATTTTACGCAATCGTCGAGTAGAAAGTTATTTGAGGTTTTTACTTTCTATGTTTTATGTTGCAGACTGTGCTTATGTAGGAGAGGGAAATACCTTTACCCTCTGTGTGTCAGTGACAGGCATCTGTGAATTAAACAAAAACAGGTTTGCTTTGCACATGTACAGGAGAGTCACAGAAAAGAAGAAAAAAAATCCAAAGAAGTGGTTAGGCGGAAGAGCTTATACAGTGGTACCTCAGTTCACAAACTCAATTCTATGATTCTGCTTGCAGAATTCTTTTCATGATTCTTGTTGCAATCAAATTCTGTGTCCAGAATAGGAGCATTAAGTTCGTGAATCAAAGTACCACTGCATATCACTTTAACAAAGGACAATACATTGTGGAAAAGTACTAAGACAAAGGAAAGACATTTGGGCTTCTAGGGACAGTAAGTTGTGGCATGATAAATATATGGGAGGAACCGATGGAAGATAAGAATCATCTAGTTAAGGGATATCAGGCCATCTCCTTTTGTCAGTGTCCCTGGTGATTTAGTCATTATCCTCTTCCTGGTATGGGATAGGAGAGGGAAACACCTCATAAAGGGAAGTTTGTGCCCTACTTCTGGGCAGAGAATGAGAAGATAGAGAATTTGTCCTACATCTTCTCATCTAACTGCTCTAAACAATTTGCTATGTCAAAGTGGCAAGTTGGAGTCCTATATTCTTTTCTCCTTCACTTGTGCTCTTGAATTCTTTGTTGAGCATATAAAAATTTATAATCAGTCATCTCTAGTCCTGGTCTCCTGATGGCTCTACAACAAATCAGTCTTAGCTACTTACATGTTCCCTTAACAGTTGATTCTGTTATTATTTCTAAGTTATGGTTAGGATTTGATGGAATAGAAGACCCAACAGATAGTTCTCTGTCTACAGCACAGACAGTTAGCATAGTCAGCTAACAAGACAGTGAGGGACAGTGGGATAAAGACCTTCCTTTGCAGGATCAAGAACTTTTGTGCCAATGTGTTTCTTCTCAAAGGTTTGGCCCTTTGGTCACCTTTGAAAAAAAAAAACCAAAAACTTTTAGTCATTCATTCATTCATTTTTTGTAATTCTGGTGACCAACCTCATATGCTAGTAAGTACTGAACTCCAGCTGCAATCCAAGGGCCTAGAGTTAACCAGTGTAACAAATCTGGAAAGGTGTGCATATCTACTGTTCATAATACTGCTAAAGAAAATGCCATCAATTTCATTCTTCAAACTTCTCCAGATTTTGCCCAACTCCTCAACTCTAGAATTTGGAATGCTTAGATGGCTAAATTGAAGATGTAAACCCATTTTTCCCAAATGAGCCAATAGCTACTAGAGTCAGAGTTGGGGGAGCAAATTAGCCTTCTCACAGGGGAAACATCTAGTGACACTTGTTCTCTTTAGATGTGGCCTAGCAGAGAAGATCATTTTCTTCTAAGTGTCCCTTTGTAATTTCTAGTCTTTTGTGATGTGCACATATTGTTTTTAGTATATAATATTCTTAGACATACTAAACTATAGAGCATAAAATAGCTAATATTCATGTGACAGCCACCCAGATCATATCCCTTAAAGGCCCTCCTTGTATTTCACCAAAGACATATCCCTACTTCAGAGGAAACATCAGTCCTGAGCCTGGAGACTGTTATTCTCACATAAGAGCCATATAACTTCAAAATCAGGGGAGGTGCAGGATAAGTATTTTTTTAAAAGCAAAGAAAATAAATTTTGCTCTCAGACTTGTGTGGTTGTTCTCAGACATTCATACCTCACAGATCAGTAACATTCCAAAATAAATTTGAGGATATGTGGAACTCTCCACTTTGCAGAGTAAATGCATGAAGAAACAAAACCAAACCCCAGAAACCCAAAACTTCCTCTGCTGTGATAATAGCTGCCAGAAAGGGCACTTGACCCTGGAAGTGCAGAAAGCACATATTCTCAGTATTTTAGAAAAAAAAAAACACAAAACCCTTTTCTTTTTAAATTTTATTTTATTTTTTTACACAGATCCTGGAAAACTTCATCTTGGACTAGCTCAGCATTAAGAGCTCACTACTTTGGAAAGTCAATCTATGCCTGTTTCTGGCTCATTTCCTTATCTCACCTCATCCCCGCCCCATGTCCTTCTCACCACTTTCTTCCCTACTCTCAGAGCCGAGGGAGAGCATTAGGGTTTGCTCCCCCTGTTCTGCCCTCCCCAGGCACCCCCAGCCCCAGCCCTAATTCCTTCACTTTTTATTAGCCCTGGGCCTCACTCCTAGAGACTGGAAGGGTTTTCCAGGAGCCAGACGTGGAGGAGTGAGTCAGGAAGGGCAAGGTAATAATGCGTGAGTCAAAAAATCCTGGAATGACCAGTGGAAGAAAATAAAAGAAAAATTCACAGATGCTAGCCCGTACTCAGGGAAGCTGGCCAGCCCCTCACACGACTGGGCTTTGCGATCTGAAGACCAGATTCAGTGAACAGGTGCATGCCCACCACAGGTGTGCAGAATGTGGGAGTACCAGGCAATGTGCTCTTCAATATCTCCTCTGAGGAGCCAGTTCTGCTTTTCTCCCTGCTCTGGCTGGAATCACAGCTGTCGCAGCTGGACCAAGGTAAGGACAGCATCACTAATTCTTTGAGCTAACATTTCACTCACCAAAGCAAAGCCCATTCTATGGAGAAGGAAGCAGAGGCCCAGGCTTGTTAAATGACAAGCAGGCTATTGGCCTCAAGTTCAGAACCACACAGCATTACTCTAATGCAAGTTCAAATAGTGACCCTGCTTGCCACCGCGATCTTAGTCTTTTTTTCTCCATCATCTTTGCTTTTCCAGCTGCTCTCTGGTGTGCATCCCTCAGACAGAGGATGTGAAAGCAACATCAGAATCTCAAAAAGGCCAAGAAGTCTGGGCAGCTGTGGGATGCAGGTCCTCAGGGATCAGCAGTGACCTGCTCTCAGCCTTGAAAACACCTCCCCTCATGATTCTGCCCTCTGCATGTACCAAGTGGCTCCTACCTCCAGGGGCAGGCCCTATCCTTTGCTCATTATAGTGCCCTTCTCCCTGCCCACTTCCCCATTGACTATTTGTCTTCCATTCCTAAAGATTATGTCTTATCTTCAGGACTCCACCTTGTAAAAATGTTTATAAAATTGTGTATCCCAAATACAGACACATGTGCACACATACACACACAGGAACGTGCATATACACATAGACACACATACAGCCACAAGATATTAATGTACATGCATAGAAATATAAAGATACACATATATACTCACATACAGACACACACAAGCATATACAGAGACAGACACTGAGATACAGGCAAACACAGAGACATGGACATACACAGAAACACATGCCGACATAGATGACTGAGACACACACCCCTCTTTTTTATTTGGGGTTCAAGCATAGCTAGCTGTTGCAGAGATAATGTCCTTCTTGGTGTACACAGATGATACTGCCCATCCTGGACTCAAACTCTGGCCTGGTCTTCACCCAGCAGCTCAGGCAAACTCTATGGCCAAAGACACGTGTTTCCTCCACTCCCACCTGCCCAGTTCTACCACTCACCTATCCTCTTCTTTAGACATTCAGGGAGGCAAGGGGTCGATGGTGGGGGCCACTCAACCAGGATTTTCCACCAAGACCATTAAAAGCGATTGAGGTGCTAAGCAATCTTAAATGTACTAGCTAGGGGCTCCTGAAATTTCAGCTTTCTGATCAAACATGAAGCACACATCTGGGCTTTGCATTCCTTTTATTTAGATCATCACAACAGCCCTGTGAAGTAAGGAACACTCATTACATTGTGGAAAAAAGAGGAGGGACCAGACCGAAGAGGCTACCTTTCACCCAGGGAATCAGTAGGCAGAGAGGGGCTCATTAGTAACCCCAAACCACCCAGCTTCCAGACCCAAGAGAGCAAAGTCTTCCTCATCCATGAGGTAATTTCCCATCCACCAACCCAGACTTTCCACTTATAGCCCCAGCACAAAAGCAGGGTCCCTGAGAGAGCACTAGAATCTGGCAACCCAGAGTCAGGCAGACAGGGACAAGATAAAGCCTCACTTCTGACTGAGGACCTTCATGAACTCCTCGTAGTTCACCTTCCCATCCTTGTCCACATCAGCCATCTGGATCATGTCATCCAGCTCCTCCTGAGAAAGATGCTGCCCCAGCTGGGTCATGGTCTGTTTGAGCTCTTCCACACTGATGTGGCCATCACCATTCAGATCAAAGGCTTGGAAGGCAGCCCGCATCTCCTCATTGCCCAGGGCCTTCGCCTGCTTTTTCATCGCTTCCAGGAACTCCTCAAAGCTGATGCTACCATCACCATCCTTGTCCACAGCCTTCATTAGTTGTTTCAGCTCTTCATCTGAGATATTCTTGCCCAGCTTCTTTACCACGTCACGCAGCTCCTGCAGGCTGATCTTGCCATCTTTATTTGAGTCAGCCTCATCAAAGGCCGCCTTGAATGCAGCCTTTTGTTCTGGAGACAGTTCCTTGGCCATGGCTGTGTTCCTGAAACCTTGTGAAGCTTCTGAGCTTGCTTCTAAACAGGTAGAGCTTGTGGTTCAGAGCTCACAGATGCCACTGGGATCTGCTGCAGCTTCTGTCAGAAGGCCGACCTTTAAGGTAGTCTTACTTGAGTAGGGGAACCCCCTTCTTTTCTGCAATTAGAGGGAGGAGAAAGGGTCCCCACCCTTCATCTGTCTTCAGGCAAGATCCTCCTCCCAGGGAGGGACACACCAGGCTGCAGACAAGAAATGCAAGATCTGGAGTGGGAGGGCCCACAGGATAATTCTGGTCATCACCATCACGGGGGCAATGGGATCATAGTCCTAACAACCTCTCCTGACCCCAGTGGCAGGTCAACCTGCATGGACATTGGCCTGGGGTACAGGTACCCTGCAACTTGTTCTCACAGATATCCTGACAAAGCCCAAGGGTTTAAGAAGCTGCAGCATCTCTGCAGTGACTAAGGCTAGAAAGGCACAGGGAAGGGTATGCAATCCAAAGGAGTGAGAGCTGAATTTGCTATTTCCCCCCAGCTCTCTGATATTTCCCTGAGGGTGGTGGTGGGAGCAGGTGGATGGAAGGGAGTATTGAATCAGTCTGGATGCAACCAGGGGCTTCATCAAATTCCCAGTCCAGAGAAGGCAACAGATTAGAGCAGAGGATGGAGTTCACTTCATTTTGGGGACCCTTTAGCTTCCAGGAAGCAAAAAAGCTTGGATGCATTCCAAACCATAGCCAGTGCTGAGATGCTGTTTGTTTTTGGATTTTTGGCACTGGCACTCACTACATAGCCCAGGTTGGCAGTGAATTCACTATTCTGCCTCAGCTTCCCAAGTGCTGGGATTACATAAATGCTCCTACCACAGGCGTGATTTTAAATGCAAGGAAAGGGCTTTTTATCTCCCTGCAAGTGTACATTCCTCCAGCTCAGGGACTCCTACTATTTTATTCTATTGCTAAGTCTAAGATTGTCTGTACTGATGTCCTTGGAGATGGGCAGCATGTGTTTCAATCATAGATGAGAAAACCACAGAGGTATGAGCCTCTTCTGAGAGTTGTCTGGACACTCAGAGGCAATGAATGGCCATCAAAGACCAGCCTCCAAGGTTTCAAGGGGCAGGAGGGTACAGAAAGGAACTGCTGTGATGAAGCCTTGGCCTCCCTCTGGCTTTATGAAGTGTTAACTCTAAGCATCATACCCCATGTGGAAACTCCAAGGGCCATGCATCTGAACTGCCTTCTGAAATGAAACCCATCCCTGCTTGCTATATGGAGCACAGGGTTTAGAACAAGTGTTTAGCCCTTAGGATGATTATGGCCAAATCCATCCAGGGGTAGAACCCATGCCTGTGAGTAGTTATTTGCCATGAAATCACCATAATGCATTTCTCAAGTAAGTCTACTCCTGATCTCCAGAGATTCCCTTTCTCTCCCTACCCGACCACTACCTGTGCTAAGAAGATGCAAAAAGAAATATCCCACTTATCTAACACTTTTTATAAAGACATCATGATGAAGGATGATGATCTCATCTTCACTCTGGAAAAGTACAGAGGCCCAAATAAATATTAAATAGCCTATTTCTCAATGAAACTGAAAACCAATATTGGGTGGAGTATATCATTCTAATCTGGTGATCAGAACCCTGCTTGGTAAGAGCCACAGGAAGGGTGGAGCTCTTAATTAGTAGATGCAATCCAGCTCCTTTATTTATTTTTAAAAGAAATTTGAAGATAACAATCTACATTTGAAATTTCCTTTTCTTCTTGTTTTATCACCAAGGCCTGTGATTACAATCCAAATGTATAATAAGTATTGTCTTATTATTTTCCTTTGATATTAAATAATAATTTGCAAACCATATCAGGAGTCTTGAGTTCCTACTTCCTGTCCCATCATTGATGCAGTACATTATGTCTCAATATCCTCACTATTAATTAGGATGATACATTCACCATAGCAAACAAGATTACTTAGAATCAAAGTATAAAGTCCAAAACCAACAGAAGATTCCATTTCTGTGATAAACTTCATGTTCTAGGAAAAGCTTGTTCTCATTTGATGTAAACCAAGAGAAATGATCTTCCTAAAGGTCCCTGTTTTCTTTTTACAACTTTCCTGGTTGAATTGAAAAATGATGTTGGTCCATTTTCAAGTTATAGATGAGTCTATCAGATCAAGGCCCTGAGTATTAGTGGTTGGACACTGGCTTTAATCAATGCCATTCCATGCATAGTGGGACTTACTTTAGAGAAGCAACTAGCTCTGTCCCATGGTGAGATAGGAAAGTGATCATTTCTAGGTGTCTCTTATAGTATGGAGGAAGAAAAGGAGTCTCCAGGAAAAGTTTCCATGACTTTTGACTACCTCTCCATCCTCTACCCACATGTAGGCCCCACTTCTTCTCCTAGGTCATGCTTACTTTTTCAGGGCATTCATGGACACCGAAGTAGTTTCTTCTGTCTTTTCATCCAGCCTCTTGCTCACTAAGGATGGGAGTCTCTTTCCCTTTCACTGTGAGTCGGCACCAGGAACAACCATATATAAGTGATCCAGAGTACAGCAGCTTCACACAATCAAACTAGGAGTTAAGAAAGGCAGTAATACGCGTTTGCTGCCAAAACCTAGTTAAGCTTAATTGTCTAATGGCTTAATGCACAACCGCCTGGGTGCAGAGTTCAGTCTAGAGCATGGCAGTTGCAATTGTCTTTCTAGTACATTTTGTCTGTACCACCTGTGAGGCTACCAGTATAACAATAGAAACAAGGGATAGCATTTATCCAGTGAGAAGCCCAAGGGTCAGGGGCCCAGCCACTTACTCCTGTCCACACATCCCCCTGGGGTGACTTGAGAAGCAAACTCGAAGCAGATTAGTTACAGCAGGGAAGAAATCTGTCCCCAGCTATTGTAGCTGTGACTCTGGCTGTATATGAAGGACACAAGGGAGGTCCTAAGGGTTATGAAGAACTGAAGCTGAATTGAAGAGAATGCAGTTTACTGATAAGGTAGAGAAAGGAGTGGGCCAGACTTCAAGACAAAAGGTGAAACAAATGTACCTACATACTTTCTAAGGATAAACATCAGGAACTGATACTCTACACTTTGAGGAAGTCAGAAGGAGCCAGTAGCCCAACCCTCTACAGGAAAAGACCCTGTTCTGCATTCGTGCCCTCTTGCTAGGTGACTCACTCCCTCATTTGATCTTGATTTAATCAATTATACCAGAGCAATTATACTTGTAATCTTATTGGCGCACCATAGTTCTGTGCCACCTCATGTCCACCTTGTGATTTCCCATTTTTCCCCACTTGACCTTCTTCTCCTTGTGGTTTTACTCTATAAAATCCCTAGAAAAGGAATGTCTTTGGTAACCCACTCAGGACCCCTTTATGTTTCTTGGAAAGAAACTATTTCTCTCAATAAATATATTCTGAGACAGAGCAAGAGACAGAGAGACAGAGAGACAGAGTTGTGTTTAGAAGGGGGAGAGAAGAGATCAGGTTTGTAGGAGGCAAACACTCTTCCCCAAGACATATCACTTCCTTTCTACCTTTCAGCTTATTATGTGCATGAAGATACAGGCTCTTCCTGGATAGAACAATTATGTATGAGGAGAAGGTGTCCTTTCATTTAGGAGAGATGAAGACCCTCCCCAAGTGTCAGGGAAAGAAGAAAGACCTCTCCCGGGATGCTGGACCAGTCCCTGAGGGTAGGAGAGGAGAGGCTGCAGCCATGGAACTCACTTGCCATGTAATGATAGCTTTGTGTGAAAGTGTTTGTGCTTGTCATGTGTATGTGTGTTTGTGTGTGTATATGTACATAGATATATACATATCTGTGCATACATATCTGTATGTGCATATGTAGTGATATTTGTGTGCCATGTGTTCATGTGTGCATCACGTGGGCCTGTTGAATATGTGCATGCAATGGACATGTGTGTTCCGATGTATGGTTGTATGCATGGTGTTGGAGAAGGTGGGGGTGGTTATTTTTCTGTTCTGGCATTTAGAAGGAATGGCTAAAGGCAACTTTTGTTTTCACATGATCTTGACCCCTGGAAATAAAATGCATACTCCAAAGCTCCCATTAGTGTTTGGCTAATGTGGGTGAAACACTACTAAGAAACCAGTCAAACGGGTCCTGGAGCCCAGACCAGTTTGGGACTCCTTTGGCTCAGATGACTTGCGGGAACCTGATTTCACCTGGCACCCGAGCCTTCTCCATGGTGTTGGTGTGATCTGGCTCCCCTGAGGACAATGAGAAGGCGTCTGTGTGGAGTCACTGTGTCTCTTCGCAACGTGATCCATGGGAGAGAACTGCGACCAGCCTCACAAGCTTACTGGCCTTCAAGATTTCCCCCCCAAAACCAGGAGTAGGAATGATGAGGAGTAGAAATGGTGAGTGTCTATGCTGCCTTCACAGAGAGTGGCTTCCCAACTACCTGTCCTAGTCCCCCCAAACACAGCTCCCTGTTCTCGCCAGTGGCAGTGACGCATGGTTCAGTCACTGGTATCAGGCAGCTGTAGGGTGAGTGCTGGCTGTTACATTTTCCTACCTGTGCAACCTTCAGCAAGCTGCTTCCCATCCCAGGTGTGAGTGTCCTACATTGCAAAAGGATATTATAAGACCCAGCATTTTGAGGGTGAAACTCAGTTCAGAGCTTGGCTTCAGGGAGCCCTCAGTGTGTCAGAGCTGCCAAAGGGTAAGTATTCTCACAGTAGCCCATCTGGTCATTTCAAATCCCCAGCCTGAAGCAAGATCAAGAAGCTCTTATTTCATCGATGCCACACATACCACCACCCCTGGATTCCATAGTCAGGCTGCCTAAGTGCCTGACACTTGGTTGTACACCATGTGTCCAGTGAACTGGGCAAAGGGACATAACTGACCGGAAGTTAGCCTGTGATGAGGATTCAGAAGTTGGAGAGCACTGTTCCCTGTAGATCCCTATGCAATCAACAGCACACTGGGAAAAGTGTAGAGGCCTTGCTCCCATGGAGATTGTTATGTCTGTGTGTTTTGAGGTAAGGACAGGCCTTTAGGCTGGTGAGAGGTGCTGTTTACTCAGTGCCCGCAGTCTGCCCAGGCTTGTCGGGGTAG